ATTCCATCTTTTCATTGTGTTATTCAACAGATCGGTTTCACTCAGCAGTTATTTTTGCTTCATGCAGTATTCTTTTTTCCTATAATCGTACAACTGTTATGGGAAATTCAAAACATCCGCTGAGGTACCAATGAATCCTTTTTCAAGCATCAACTAGTCTGAATCTGACAAATCTGTTTACAGCCGTCCAGTGCTTCCAGGTTTTCAGTGGCGATCTAGCTAAGATCTGTTTTGATTTTAACAGTGAAAATACTACCATCTCCACAAATCCCCTATATTAAATCTACTTACATTTTCTGGGGGGGGGGCTGATGTAAGCTATGGATGAAACACATGTCATTGGTCGTCCTATAACTTATTCTTTTTCAGAGTACACTAAAATTAACATTCAATATTCCTGATAACTCATTTAGAACCGGTTAAGATTTATTGTTTTGAATTAATAATAAAAATTATGTTGTTCTTTTTATTATTAGACTGTGATATGTATCTATGGGTTTTCATTCATCTGAATGTATATGTTGTAGTAGTCGTATAGACTGGTTTTGTTTATTATCACATCAACTACCAGTTTTCTACCCAGTTCAACTACCCTTAAGTTTCCATCATAAGTACATAGTCGGTTATCGCTTCCTTCTGTATTGTAATTTTAAAATATATAATATCCGTCGATCATTTTACAACCATATTTCGACGGAAATTTTACCTATGATTTTAGGTTTTTTTACCTTCGGGTGTTGCGGTTACTCAGTCTGGCCAAATTATTCAATGTACCACAGGATCTGGACAACAACCGGTCCTCATATTCCAACAACCTCAGTCACAAAATACTTCACAAATAAATTCGTTATCATCTGCTGATCAGTCTCTTTCACGACAGTCAATAATCAAGTAAGTTTCAGTGCTCTAATCGGATAGGTAAACTAAGTAAGACGAAATAATGCACGTTTGTATTAAGTTAGGTTTATGGTACCAGTTGATTTGCAGGATTTTGGTTTCCCATGCTGAAGGGTACATGGCTCCGACTAACCACAACTCTTTAGGCATTATTCGTGTTTTATGGAACTTGTGGTGATTTAAAGAATTAGGAGTTTCTAATATAACTTTGGAGCTATTTATAACAACAGATCTGAATTAATCTTCGCCCTTGAAATTCAGTAGTAAACATTGCGCGTTAACTTGCTGAGAAAAGAGCTGTAGTGGTGTGGCAGTACTGAGATTATATCCAAACAACATGTAGTTACACACAAACTTGGGGTAGTCGGCAAATTGGAGAGGTGGTTTAGTGGTTAAACCACTTTGCTTCCAACCTGTAATCACAAGTCAGAACCCCTAATTATCTACTTCAGTTCGTATTCCTGGATAGTATAACTTGGCCTCAGGAAAAATGTGCCTCAAAGTCAAGTACATAAACTTGTTCTTAATGAGTTAAATTTAATTACAAATCAATCTCTCATACATAAAATGTACATATTTTGTGTACGAATCTAGTTTTAGTCATTTTAGTATATGCAACGGTAGCTAGTATCGTAAAAGTAATCTCCAAATAATTTTATCTAACATCATATTCAGTACTGACTTCCTTCATAATTTCATATTACTCATCACAAATCGGGAATAGGTAAAATACTATTGAAACCCTGTCAGTCAGTCAGTCAGTCAGCTACAACGTAGGACCAGGCACATATGTGCATCGGTCCAGGTTGCCATACCGCATCAGCACAACAAGATGAACACCGGATTCATAGCAGTGGTGGTAATATATAAGAGAAAGATAGCATATAGAGATATAGTACAAGAAGAAAGAATTGGTTCGTAGAAAGAAAGATATGAAGTGATTTTAATCTCTTAGTTTAAGGAAAGACAGGGAGTGTATACACCTACACCATTGTGATCTATTCTGAGCCATGTCACCAAGAGTCTCCAACCATTAGTTACGCAAGTCACGCGGACCCCAACCAAGTAGTCTGCATCTACCAACATGGCTCAGACTAGAAGTTAGTGACTTCAAGCACTGATGCCACGTTTTTGTTTGGCCGCCCCTAATTGAAACCCTGTGCTCTGCTGAGAAATTCACAAATGTAAATGTAATATCTATTCAACTCTCTTTAGTATTCAAAGGTTGTCTGACTGTTTCCTTTTCGTAAAAGAAATAACTTTTTAATAAGATTCACTTTTATGACTAACACCCTATTGACTGGTACTGGAATTCTATTTGGATTGTATACTGACAACCATCAAAATTAATATTCTTTATTTTGAATTGAATAAAGAAAAGATTTCCAAATGTCAAAGTTCTAAATAGGCTTCTTATTGTAATAAAATACATTACAAACTTCAAATAATTTTAAATTTTTAGTTGAACAGAGATCTTTATAGAATCGCGATTTGGTTGAACATTGAATTTTTTTAATTACTGTCATAGATGTTGGTTTGTATCGATGACTGATATCCATAGAGGTCACATTAACGTACTATTGTCTTCTGTTATCCTTTCTGAATAACATTTTTCTTATTGTGAGAGTCCTAAAATTCCTAATTTCGATCTTCTATAGCGAGTTGTGGATATTTCCTCCCAACAAATCTTACCCAATTTAGGACGAAACAATTATTCGATTTTTCTTAGTTTTCAATATATTTCCAGCTTTTAGCAATCACATCAAGCCATAAGGATGAATTCTATTGTCAGATTAAATTAATGAACTTTAATTTTTAAAAAAATGCTGGTCACTACTTAGCTATAATTGATTATGATAATCACTATTGGTGCTGTTTTTAGTAACCCTAACCAGCTCTTCGTATTTTATGGTTGTCTTTTTTATTTCACTTATATGGTTCAATTTATTTCAGTTCTCAAACGATGGGATCATCTACATCCATTAAACCAAGTTGTCAACAGGACGGCATCTACGGTATGTGTTTTTTTATATGTATGAATTGATTACTCAGTTCTAATTTATACTTGTGAATTTTTTTTTGTCTCTTTGTATGTATAGTTATTTTAATGCATTAATTGTAATATTTATAGAGTTGGAAGAGTAGTTTGTCGTCACCACACAAACTGACTATTATTATCATTACTATTAGTAGTGATGGTATAGTCATCATCATCAAACCTACTGAATTTTTCATCTCCAAGATTCATAGTCAGCTACCTCATTAAAATGTTGAGAAAGAGTTTTGTGAAAGTGGTGATCTATTTGTGTGCATGGCCTATGATCATAACATATGCACACTTTGTATATTATAATGTATTCCCACCTCAATATAAGATATTTTATGCGAATTTCTAAAAAACAAGAATTGGATCTATTTTTTTGGTATTTATTATTTAAAAAAATTTTCATGTCTTGTACTCACTTAATACGAAAATATCATTTTACACGATAAAATTAGTAATAAGAGATTATCTAATCAAAGGTCTCTCCAACGGTGAATAAAACCTTTGTACTGTGTCGTAAAAAGTTGACTACCTCTTTATAAACTATATCTGTTAATAAATTTTCAGAAGTCTTTTTAGTGCAAATATGAATTCAGGTTAAAGTAAACACAGAGAAGTGTCGAATTATTGTTTTAATATTTCTTAGAACATTTTTTATCACTGAGTAGTTGAACCTTTTATTTCATCACAGTCTTGTCACTGTTCTCTGATATAACTGACTTAGCAGGTACACAGGTTTATGTGGTTTGTTTCAACTTCACGCCTTTTGTCAGAACCAATAACTTTATCCGGTTTCCCAAACAAAATTGGGTGGAGTAGAGTTTAAACCTGTTATCTGTTGTTTGAAAATTTCATGGCTTAACCATGAAACCATTATATGTTTCATCTATACATTGTTTTACATCGTTTAAACTAGATAGTGAAATAATCTCATATCATTTCCTCTAGTCATTCGAAAGTAATCCCTTAGTGCTTTTAACTGGATCATAAATATTATAGATTTTTGTGCTTTTTATGTAATAAGAGAAGCTTCTGGGTATAAAACTAAAGAACTGAAACGTTCTATTTCTCAAATGTATATATAAGCATTGTACAGTTTAATTGTCCGTTGTACAAAATCAGTTCATTTATTCTTCCTTATTTCTGTAAACTCATACAGCAGTTATTATTCATTCATTTTTATTTGACTATTATTATTGTATATTCATGATGTTAATTATTTTTAAATATCTGGTCAATAGAATCCCACTTTGTTTCTAAGACAAAAAACGATATAAATCGAAACCAGAACCTGAATTTCTACTAGTCTTTTTTCTTTAAAACAAATCAAAAGTTAACTCATATAATGAAAATGAATATAATTTATTTTAATGAATACAGTCGCTATTCTGAGTAACAATGTAAAATTATTTATTTCACAAAAAAGAAGTATTTCCGTTAATCATTCACATTTCCTACCCAAATTATCTTTTATATTGAACAGAACGTCTGTCTGGACGACGTATTCGTGGTAGGTGCTCTTAGTGCAGTTAGTTAACCGATTTAAAACCAAATTTACCATTCAAATGAGTTTACTGTTGACCTTTATTTATTTATTTGTGAATAACAAAATTGTGTGAAAGAGCTTTTTTATTGAAGTAAAATTAAAAATTCTAATGCCAACTATTGATAAAATTGTAATGATGATCATGCTAACATTTCGACCAGTGCACATATTATTGTTTTTTTTCTAATCCAAGATCTACGTTGCCTATCTGTATTTGATTTAGACAAGTTTTTGTGTATATCTATCTGTTTGTCTGTGTATGTGCATTTGATTCCGAAATGAATGATTGACAGCAGATTTACAGTGGATTAATAAGTTGTGTTAAGTGCCATAATTTCGATTTGTTTACTACTTTGAACTGGTGCTATTTATTTTTTATTAAGTGTTGTTGGTGTTTATTTTTTGGCGATGCTTACACTATTCTTACTGCTGTTGCTAATGCGAGATTAACGTGTTAACGCGAAACATATATATATATATATATATATATATATATATATATAATGGTGAAGTTTTTTTAACTGTTGATTATTTATCTTTTTTCCAATTTTGCTGCTTGTTTTCTGGTAAAAAACGATGTTTGTCATTGTGATCATGAATTGATTGGTGTTAGACTATCATTAAAAACCTGAAAGCACTGTATGACCGGTTCGTCCCAGTATGGGACTCCTCAGGAATGCACATTCACGATCCCACACGCAGGACTCGGACTCAGGACTTTCGGTTTCGCGCGCAAACGATTACCCTTTAATCCACGGAGTCGGTATTCAACAGTATTAATGTATAACTTCAATCAATTCACAATATCCGGCGACCATCTTCCATTGTTTTTTTGTAGGTAACTATCTCATGCTCGCCACGGTTGAACTCTACTGGTCACGGCTTCTCCTGGAACTGCGAAACTTCTCTCTCGAAACTAGCCACTGGTGTACACTTGATAATTATCAGTATAGGTTTGTAGGGATTGTTAAGCTTTCTTATATTTTTATTGAGATCATATTATTATTGTCCCGAAAATAATAACTATGACGCTCATACACTCGAACCAAAGAATATTATGCATTTAATCTGCTCTAGATAATTTACCAATATACGTATACGATGGGCACTTCTAACTGTAAATGTGTTTGTCTTTTATTAAAGTTAAAACGGCTCACAAATAAATGGTTATTTGTCTGTTTGTCAATTGGGTTGTTTTACACAAAACTACTCATTCGGTAATTAAAAAAATGCCTGTATTTTAACTGTATGCAAAATTTGTAACTTTATTTCCAATTTTTTTAGATAAAGACACAGACATGATTTAGGATCTGATAAAATTATATATGTTGACTATAGCTGCTATAGTTTGTATCATCCTGCTGGACAGTGAAAAGAAATTGACAAAATGAAATTCAAAGGGATGATACTAATGTACCCTAACTACAGTAGAAAAAATAGATGTGAAATGAGAAACGGTCTGTGACAGTGAATAAAATACACTTAATGATTCCATATTTTTGATATAAAGAAAAATGACAAATGCGTCTGTACTACTGACCATGGCTATTCTGTGAACCTCAGTATGGAAACTTTCATATATTATGCTGGTCAAAGCAATAATTGGTAACATTGGAAATCTTATCTGTTTTGGTTTAAAATTTTCGCCAACTTACTGTTCTCCTAGCCAGCTAAGACTGCTTGATTAGACGTTTGTAAGAGTTTATACCGACCCCATCAGTTGATTTGCCATCTTGATCTAGTTTTATCCGACTGGAATCAGGACTACTCACCTGGTGACTTCAAAATGTTCGAACAATTCCTTGAAAACACCTATGATTTAATACTTGCAATATACTTATGTCTACTTTAAAATGAACTCATTTTGTTGGTGAGATAGTTTATCACTGATAAAAATAAACGAAACATCATAATTTCAATTGACTCATGATCTCAACAATTGAAATTACTAAAATCTCCACAAAACGCCCTTCTAAAACATAAATGTAATCTCCGTTTTGTTGATGCTTTAAAAAAAGTACACACAAAAACCCGCTTACGTATTCGTATGGATTAAAAAAGTTTTTACATAAAGCCCTGTCAATTAATGTTCCATTTCCCAGCCCAGTTTATCATTCACATTATCCTAGCTAGTTACATTTTCTCTTTCACATTTACAGTCATGATCAATAATCAAACAACTTTGAATTTTTAATTTTCTTTATGAAATCAATCACTAGCTCCTTTTAAATAGGACTTGGATTTTTATCACATCACAGCAAGATTTATGAGAAATGAAATAGATCCATTTAGTTGATTAATTATTCTGTTGTGAAATAATATACCTATGTTTACTGCGTAATCAACACTCGTTATTCAAATGTATCTACAAACTCTACAAAACTTATTTCTCTCTATAATCCCAGTATTTCCGATTCGGAACCACAATTCCTGTAGTTTATATTATGACTCAACTTCACTCAGACAACCAATAGTTCTCAACATATTTCCCATATTAGCACATAAGTGATGAGGTATACTAGAAGTCACTTGTATTCAAGAAACAAACTAAACTGTAGAGACTCATTGTTACAAATGATATCCCAGATCACTGTTACTGAGATCGTAGTTACTTTATACAACCCACATTCATCAACAGTCATTTGAAAGTTTTCATATTGAAAATGTTGTTCAGAAATCACACTATCGCGTTCATGTGGGAAATATTGTAATATTTTGTCCTGATTATACATTTAGATCCTCCAGTCTTCTGAACTAGCCATTCTGTTTTGGGGCTGCTTTGTGTAAATACTTATGATTTGCTACTGGTAGCCATAATACACAATCAAAGTGAAAGTTTCATTAAATTTAAAGTAATTTTTAAAGTTATAAATTAACCAATAATGTAACTCGTTTCCCATGTGCTAATTAATATACTCGGTTTTGTAGGATATTCTCTGTGTAATAAGAGCTAATGATACTGCCCATTTGCACTAAAACACAGAATGAGGTGAGAGGCAGATCTAACGGATGAGAAATCCTAACCCTCTAACTGCTAACTCATCAGTCTTAACCTGCGCGAATTATATCACTAAAAGTCCTTCATAAATCAAGTTTATGAACTTATCAACCATGTATTATGCTTGATTGTTAATATATCGCCGCCATCTATGCTTTGAAAGCATAACTTTGTAGTGAACAATTAAGGTACTTGCATTTATAGTCTATTTTACTCTGAAAAGTAAATTATTCTCGTGTCATTTCTTACCATTTTTGTTACCAATGACTGTTAACTTGATAATATCACGGACTATTATACCTAATATTTTATGGTTGGACAAAGTTCGTTAAATCTTCACTGCAATATCGAAGCTTATCTTATGCTCAGTATCATCTGATTTTAAATTTAACTGCAGTGGCATACTATAATTTTATTTCAATATGTATATTGACGAATAAGGATAGCAAATATCTGAGAAATGATACCAATAATTATCTCAGTTACAACAATCTCACATTCCCGTGATATTCCCAATAATTAATTACTTCCCAGAGTAGAGTATCAGCTTGACGATAACCACATTATTTTTCTGCGAACACTATCAATGTCTGTCGATTTTATTGTTTTTTCTGCAGTGGCCACATCTAGCCCAAACGCTGTTCTTATTCGAACGTCTAGTTCTGGTTGCCTCACAGTTATTAATCCATCAGGTACAACTAGTGAATTATCTCATATTAATTCTGGACAACATTCACTACACGGTGCTAATGACAATTCATCATTATCTATTTCTTCAACAACCGTGTCTAAACCTGTTCTCACAGTAATACCAAATCCCACGGGAACACAAACAAAAATTATCCGTCCAAGTTTAGCTCAGTCACCTAAAGTTGGTCTTATTCCTAATAGTCAACTTCAAACACGATCCAATGTACCAGTCACTCAACAGTATCAACCAAGACCAACTATACAATCAAACCCTACACCTGTAATTTCAAAAGTCCAAAGTTTCGCACAAGGTAGTTACTTAAATGTTAACTTTTTCATTAGACTGCTAATTTACTCGAGCGTGAACTTCACTGATTCCTGCGTGATTGATAATTTTTTTTTGGGGGGGGTGTAAGCCAAAATCATTCATCAGATTGATGATAAGCACAACCTTTTCGAAAGTTAATATCGTTTTTTAGACAGAGGTCCGATGCTATTTTAAGAAATTATGATAATTAAACTACTTTTTGTACTCCCTAGTTGTAATGAGTATAATCTCACTCCCGTTTAACTATTGTTATCATCTTTTCATTAAGTAATTTTACCGTACAAATGTCTGTTATTTGTCGCAAATATTATTATAAAATAAATTGTAAATTATTAGTCAAGCAAATCATATTTTTAAAAATAGTTTTCCAAATAAGAATGAGAATTCTATTCAACAGTTCGGTTGACATAGAATCAAACGGATTGGCTATTTAACTATTTCTGATATTACCATCATATAGAGATTTTTTGATACAACAGGTTTACCAAGAAGCGTTCCATGTAAAAACAAAAATTGGAAAACGGAAATTCATGCAATACATAAATAAGTTTGAAACAATACAGTTTATTCGAGAACACAACCAATAAGGATTTTGTTCAATTATTAGAGCAATCTTACTATTCAAAAACAACACAGGTGGTAACTGAGTCACCGCTGACTTGTTTTCCGAGCGAGTTCTGTTAAACCACCTAATGTGGAGTCGTAACGGATTAATGTATGCTACTAAACTAGAGTGGTTGAGACATATAATACATATATACCCAACCACCACCTACCTCGACAGGTGATGCTGTCTGGTATGAGAATACTTTGGAGGGAAAGTAGGAGCATCCAAACCAAGACATGTGATCAGTCCCTGAAGTCATTAAGAATTAGACTGAGCCGTGCTATTAGGTACAAATCATCTAGTTGCGGTCCATGTGATTATCGTAACCAGTGGCCTGAGACTTCAAGTGATAACTCAAGATCATTCACAATGACGCAGGTGCATTCAGTCCTTGTCCTTTAGAATTTGAGTCCTGAAGTCCTTCCTGTATCTTTTCTTTATTTTTCCATTCCTAATCTTTCCTACTGCCATTACTGACATTGTTACTACTGTTACCTGTAATCTGTCTTGAAATAATTTTATCTCTCTTTGCTAATGTGGTAAGGCAATTTGAACATATGTGCTGGATTCTAAGTTATGTATTATTGACTAACAAGTCTACAAGCGCTCTTCAATCTACAGATGTGTTTTATTTGCTGACTACTTTTGCTTTTTCCACCCAACTGTCCAGTTGTCGCCATATAATAAGCAGTATAATGCCCTCTGTAATGGCGTCAGTAAAACTTGTCTATATCACAGAAGTACATCTTTTAAAATGATAACACGAATACAACTCGATTGTACACAAAAATACATTCGTGAACACAATGTTGGAATACAGCTTTTATATATTTTAGTTTAGGTGTATTGTTTCGTAGCCTTATGAAAATCATTCAAGTAAGCGATTACTGTTAAAAAATAATCTAACTTACAATGATTACTTACTTCTACTGTTTTTCTTTAATTCAAATTACAGGTGAAGTACTACAAATATCTGATAAAGACAATAAAGTACCTGAAACGTCTACTACTTCTAACACTACCACTACTACTACGACTACCTCTACTACTAGCAATAAAAAAGGTGGTGAAGTGAAATCTTCTGAAGTTCAAGCTCAAATTGTCAGCGGTCTAACTGATATAGCGAATCGTTACTTATCAACTGTAAAACATGCAATTCAATTGGCATCTAAAAGACCGGAAGCTGCTGGTTGTGTTCGAAAATATATTAAATTAAAAGATATTTTAGAACATCCAGAGGCAAATTTAAATGTACTATCATTTGCACAACTTCCATTAATTGAAAAATTATTACATGAGATAGAACGAAATCCAATGCATTTAGTTGAAGAGCATCTTCAACGTCAAGCTAAAGCAAACGCTGCAATTTCTTCTCATGGTACATCATCGTCATCATCATCATCTACAAACACTAGTAAAATCAGTACAATAGGTCATATGCAATCACAAAAACAAGATAGTCAACAACAACAGTCTCAGCAGTCACAACAAATTTCACGTCATCATTTGAATCAACAATCGTCCCAGTCACATTCTGTTCCAGCTTCGAATCAACAAAAACATTCAACTGTTATTAGTCAACAGTCATTAAATCATTTTCAAGGTATAAATGTTGTTTCTATATTATTAATTTTTTTATCTGTTTATTTTAGCGTCATATCAGTATTATGTTATTACAAGTAGAAATAATTCTAGAAGAATTATGAATTTTTTGAAAATAAATAAATGTGTTTTCACTATCATTGACTATATGAACTTTTCCACAGTATTCAATAAACACTAATGGACCAAAGATTGATATGGCTATTACTTGACCAATCAATTATAGATAACTTAGTCCTTCATGAGGTCAGTCACGACTCAAATAACTCAATAATGTCATTTTAGACTGTAACGTGGGTTCGAAGTGCATAAAGAGTACCAAATCCCTTAAGATTACAGATACACCTTACTGATGTGCTAACGTGAAACCTAGGTTTAGTGTTTCCTCTCAATGAGTATAGATGAAAAAATAAATAAACTGATTGTTAGGTTTTTGTACTCAGTGTGCTATTGTTTGTACTATTTTCTTTTTTATCACGATCATTTATTTTATTAGTTTTCATTTGAAAAGTGTATCATTCAGAATTTTGTGCAGTGTGAATTTACATTAATCAACTCTGTTGAATGTTGAATGGGACTTAATTCGAACACTTCACTTCTATCTGAAGTTTGTGCCGATGATGTCGTTCAGAAGAACGACGAAAGCTCCACGATCAAACCATCCAGCTCAGAGAACAAAACTCCACCAAAAACTTGATAGCATAGTTTTAATGACATTGATATTATACAAGAATATCTGTGTTAAATTCATTAGTTGTGGGGCACAAAAAAATCCATCGAATGATTACCTTGTTTTTCGGATACTGAATAACAGGTAAATTATCCTACTATAAGCAAATGGATATTTACTTTGATTAAAATGTAGAATAAAAGATATGGCACTTGGAACGCCATTCAATTGTTATTCAATTATGGTTGTTTTGACTGAATTTCACAAAGTTTTGCATAAATTTACAGAGTGATATTAAAGTTGTGGGAGTTTTATTTTCCAGTTTTTGTATTTTTTTTTAATGACGATATCCATCATGAACTAATATTAACTTAAGAACCACTGAAATTCAGGGTGTATCAGGGAACTGTTTTATTCTAATAAGAACCTAATCACCAGCGTACCGTTACGATATCAGTTAGGTTATTTAGATATAAGTACGGAAATAAAATTAGCTTATGAGAACTGAAGAAACTTAAAACAAATATTCATCGATTTAACATTTCAAAATGCTTATGGTTATTGTTAACCATATATCCTTGAAATTTCACGTTACTGGTAACGTACCTTGTGTATGTGTAACGACACAACTCTTTAGTGTGGATTTTTTCCACAACGTTCCTTATTTCAGCTCTTGATTGATATATAATCCTATTACATTCCCATACTTTTTTGTTTTTGATTATTTTTAGTCCCGACTACTAATTTAAACACACTTCTATCTCAACCTTTCGATGCTCCAAGTCCAACCGGTGTAGTAGACATTCAGCAACAAGGTATTCAGCCTCGACCACCTACTCATTTCTCACCAGCTGGTATAAATCCCACTATCTCAAGTACTCAAAGTTCTGATATATCAACCAAAACATCAACAGCTGTATCAGGATCAGTTGTGGAACATGGTCGATTGACACATCCTAATCGTGTTACTACATCAGCTTCTCTGCTTGGATCATCTACTCAAAGTAATACTGAACCAACAGGATTTTATGCTAGTTTACAGTTATTAGCTACAGAATTCGAGAGAATGTCTGACCGTATGTCACAAGATCAAGCTTATTCTCGTCGAATTTCCAGAGCGATTCATGAAGTCAGTAGTTTCATTAATATGTTTTAAAAATATTTCTATTTTATTTATATTTCATATCATATTTGAAGCAGTATTCAAATCAAAGCTTATATTCTAAAAATGTATATAGAATAACTTCAGTGTGGAGTTTTAGATATTAAATTTGTTTCTTAGGATTATTGTAGTAACCGGTGTCTAAAATGTCTCTTTTCATGTCAACATTAACATATCGTATTGCTCTATGGGCCATTTAATTGTTTTATAGAGATTTAAATCTGCTTAGAAACAGGTTTTCATTTTCATTCTTACACTATTAATTACAGTACTTTTCCATTTTGCAAATCATAATTTTTGGTTAACGATTTAGGATGTCAGTGTTATAGACTTTTAATACGACCCATCTACACTTATTGCTTAGTATTCTTGGGTACTACTTCACTTGACAATTCTCCATATTAGAACTCAGTTGGACAGGAACCTAATTATATTCCAAATAAACAAGGTTGAATGAAAGTAGGAATCACTAAGAAAAACGCTAGTATGTTTATGATTTTTACTTAAGAAGGTTCTAGAATCTTCTCTGAGAGTCCGCTAGCACTGACTCGTTAAGAAATAGCCAGTCAGTGTTTCTGAATACTATCATGCATGGAACATTCTTTAATCAAATTTTTTCCCGCTGAAACTATGTCTAAAACAACCACTTGATTAATTTCAAGTATGTAAATATTATCACACTAAGGGTTATCACTGAACCATTGCCACATGGTTTGTGATGTTGTATCTGAACAAAACTTCATTCCATTAGATTATTATTACTAGCACTCTGTGTGGCCATTAATCATGGAATTTCTCAAAAACAGTAATCATTCTTTTTCAAAACTTAAATACTTGTATATATATTTTATTTATTGACAAATGAGATTTAATTTGCATGGAGGATGTTTTATTGGTATCAATATACAATTAGAAAGTGTTCTGTAAATTAACCTCAATGTGGCTTGTTTACAATGCCTGATTACAACGATAATTTTTCGTGTTACTTTGTGCTAAAATACACCTGTTATTGATCAGTTCTGTAGTGAGTGGAAAAGACCAATTTATTGTTTAATACGAAATTACAGGGTGCTTTCACAAAATATTATAACCGTACACTAAATACATAATTTGCACATCTTCCATCAGTTGTCCGTAATATGCTTCATGATCCTTTGAATTATGTTGTTATTGGAATTACTTTTTGTTACCCTTTCCGTTCTCTTCAATTGAATATTTTCTATCTTCTACTGGCATACATTCCACTTTCAATTGGCGCTACATGCTACTTACAGTGGACATATATAAGTAGCAAACACTAAAGTACTAATGTTAACTACATTTTTCCCAGAATTTATTGCATCACCTCTGATTGCTTGTAAGATACATATTTTATTTTAGGATTGATGATAAATATTATTCAGTTGTCGTAAATTTATTGTTGATGGATGCTGTCTATGTTCAAATGTATAATTTATCAAAATACTTTGTCTATCAGTGTATAATTGTTGACAAATATTCATCAGTAGTATAACTTACAATCTTTTGACAAACTTTCAAATGGAATTTAGCTGAATAATTTTATAGTGTACTGTTTTGAACATTAATAACAAGCATGTTTTTTTATTATTACGTGTTAATTATTCTCAATTTTCCTCCGATTTTTTTCCTATAAAAAAATAATAGATTTCACTGGAGACGAAATCGTTCAGAGAAAGTATTGGATTTTGTCTACCTCAAGATACAGATCAATTTGTTGGGCATAATAATAAATGTACCCTAACAACTGTTGATGATTATTCGAATAAAACAAATCTATTAATTACAACGTCTAATTTAACTGGTAACAATGATAATAATGATACTGTTTTGAATTCATTAAAACGTAAACATTCTTGTGACGATGATGATAGTAACAATATCAGTCAACCAAATACCACTGGGTTAAATTCTTTTGTGAAATCGAATGAGCAAATAGATGAACCAATAATTAATAATACTGTGTCATTGTCCCCGTCATCTTCATCTTCATCAGTGAATGAATATGAACCGAAAGCGAAGAGAGTATGTGTTAGTTCCGTATCTGGAAATGAAAAAAATGAAAAATCCAATTCGCATATACAACACCCGGCATCGATTAATACTACTACTAGTAGTAATAGTAATTCGGATGAATTACAAACACCCACACTATTAACTGATAAGGATGGTGCTGGTATTTTCTTACCTACGTTGTCTTCACCGTTATCATCGTCTGTAATTAAAACTGACCATCAGGTGAGTGATGCATAGTATCTATGTGCGTACAATTTAGTTAACGTTACGTTTGCTTATGCTAGTGGGAAGAGTATTATAAGGAACCGAGCTGTCATATATTCCACTGCATCATTTTAATATTTATTTGTTTTGGTTATGATAAAGAATTCAAGTATTTATATTATAAAATTATTTGTAACTGAAAATTAACGACTCTGAAAAGCGGGATGAATGAAATTAAGTTATGCAGATGTTTTGATTCTAATATTTTTGGTATAGTGATAATAAGAATAACCACCTTAACTAATGAGTCACAAATCTATTTGGTTAGTGTACTCTAAAAGAGCTTTCACTGTATTTCTGAACATCTTCAAGGCCTAATTCATGTTAGAGCTAGTTGTTCGGTTATTCTGTATATCTTATATCGGTTAATCAAGAAATCTAAAAGCAGTATGTTAATTTAGCATTTTATTGAAGCTGTTTTTAGTTAATATACGATTATAAATTGCCTAGACAATGTAACCAAATTTTCGGTTGGATTGTTAGTCGATAATTAGCTTTCACTCTGTTTACAGGAGGCCCTTTGGATCTCCTTTAGTTAATAGACGTTCTGATTGATATTTTTAAATAGTTTCTATCGGACTAATATTTTTAGATTGTGTAAGGCACAGATTAATGAGCTATATACCAAACTTGACCATTATATTTTAGTATACTCTAAAATTGTGAAGCAACTTTTAATATTTGGTGTATGTACGAAGTTGATCAAGCTTTATTGAAAAATAAAATTTCTTAGGTTATTAGAATTTGTTGGTTAGATTATTACATACCCTTTTTGTCATCTTTCTGTATCTGTATGATAAGTAGAATGTTACAACTTAAACAAATGTATCACTGATAGGTTTGTGCAGATTATTGAACTTCCATAGATTACGTCACACATTGTTCGTGGTTAAACGACCATTAAGAACAACTATTTCTCTCTAGTATGGGACTCCCCAATGGTATGAGGAATTTTGCACTTGCTCATAAGACTGGAGGTCTTGAATTCGATCCCTGGCGGAGTCGTAGATGTGCACCAACGACGCGTTCCATACTATGTTGAAACGGCTGTTCATTACTTATCGGTTCTGATAGTTGTCTAAGTAAGACCAATGTGTGATTTAATTTGTGATTATTTCATTTTACGTTAATTTTATCACATTTATGTGAAAGTGCTACTACACATTTTAATCAGGGAAATAAGTTCACCTCTAAAAGAAATATTTTAATGATAGTCTGTTCATCGTGTCACAAAAAAGATCAAATGGTCTTGATTACTACTATGATTTCATCTATTATTTTGTCACATTGAAATGAATTCATTTCTTACATCTTCTCATAATACAGTTCATAATACGCAGTTGAATTATTTTCATTTGCTTACCACAATACAATATCATCTTATTGTGATGTAGTTGTAATTTTCTATTTATAACTTTCAATATTCATATTCAAAGATAAAAGTATAGTTATGAGTTCTATTTTTTTAAATAAGAAAGATTAGTTCAACGAAGAGTTCTTTTTTCGGCGAATTCATTTTCAAAGCTCTACAGTTGCATATATACTTATATACTGATTCTATTTTTTCCCACCAAGTAAACAAATTTCATTATTGACTATATAGTTTATTGTAACTTGTTTTTACGTACATTTTTTTCTACTAGGGGTTAAACGGTTCATCCGGTAAGTCAGAACCAGCTTTTTTTCGTTTTAATAAAAGGAAATTATATTCAACTTTTCATATACACTGCTTATTATACATGCTACTTTATATATATATATATATATATATATATATATATATATATATATATATATATATGTTTTTTAGATCTTAACTCTCTTTAGGTAATAATACGAAGACGTATGACGTGACAGATTTATGATGTCACTAACTACTGAATTGATGCTTTTAATTTTTATGGTAGTGGGAAACCGCTGTAAATTGCTTGTCAGTTGATTTATTTCCATAAGTTTCAATATAATATAAATTCGCTTTTACTCCTTAATTTTTTCTTAATATTAAGATTGTTACTTATTGTTTATTAATTATGCACTGATCTTCATTGGATGTATTATTATTTCTCTCTTGTTATTCTGTGATGTGTAATAGCTTGGTTATATGTTTTATGATTGTTTCAAGTTTCACATCATTCAGTTCATTTCCTTGTTAATGAATTTAACTAATCAATGGTTTTACACTTTCCTATTAAATATCATCATAGTTTATGCGCTAATTTTTCTCTTCAAACATTTTGGTATTATGATTATTAAGTAGTATTCAGTTTATAGGTCATAATTCTCCCCTATCACTTTATTTATTTATTCAATGTTGAAAATGGCCCATTGAACTGAGGACACAAAATCTAAACAGAAGTGTAACATATAAATAAAGATGACAATAATTAAACAGAAAACAATTAAATATCTAGCAGTGAATTATTAAGAAACTATACATTAATAAAAGATAGATTTTATCATCGTTTAACAGTTGTTAGAAAATATTTATTGAAGCTTAAATTAAGTTTAATAACTGAAATTTTTCTGTTAATATAATTCCTTATGTTAAAATCTAATGGATCTTAGTGAATCAGTGAATTGCTAGATGATTCCCACTATAAATTGTTTGTTTGTTGAATGACTATCTCGAAATTAGATTATCTGTACTTTGAATATAACCTATATGATTTTAGAGATAGGACACTCGAGTTTTGCAATGAATGTTTTAAATTTTCGCATAGGTAAACTCGAAATATATAAATAATTCTGACTTGATCCAGATAAAGATATGCAAATATGTAATCCACTCACCCATGCTAAGCTAACTGACACTTGCATTTCTCATTATGTGTCCTTTCAACGATATTTAATTAGCCTTTTATCAGCATATCATCTCTTTATATTCAACACATCGATAAGATGATCTTCAAATGCTTGAATTCCCTTAGCCCCTTTCTTCAATCAATCATCTTAGTATATGATAATCGATATTATTTATGTAATCCATTTAACTTATAAATTTTCTTCTAATCTGAATTTTTACTTAATTTCCGTCTATTTATTTTAATTAAATATATGTCCATTTATATCAGATAAAAAGTATGGTAAGTTGAATAGTTGAATTTGATTAGTTCTTTGCTATAATTTCTTTGTCCGAAAATTCCCAATTAATTTTTGTGCTACTTCGTTCATCAAGTATTATTGTGAACGGATTACAATTGTATTAATTTATTTGCTTATTATTACCGAAACTTTCACAGAACATTTATATAATGCTCTGTATATATACAATAGATCTCTGGGCTACATGCAATTTGCACTGTTTTCTTTCTAATAACCAAGACACAAATATGTGTATGATAAAACATTTTGTTCAACCATCTAGTTTGACGTTTACTTGAGTGTCTTTTTCTCACAAATTGATAACTAATTGTGTGGTTTTGTTTTCCTCACCTCCCCCTCCAAAGTTGTAATTTGGTGGTATTGAAATGCTTTGTTTTATTTAATTGTTAAACATATCAGAATCCTGTTGTGTTTGTTTTTATTTTTTTTAAAAAAACGTATTTTTTACAAGGGAAAAATATTTCAGTTAGCTCATTTCCGCTGCTACACAAGTAAATAAATTTATTTATATAAATTACCAGTCACAAATCGATTTCGTAAGGTTAATGGACATAAGTTAATGAAGCAAGGTTGACAGGATATTGTGTTATATATAAAGAATGGATCAGTCTATGAAATTCAACATGCTGTACATAAAACACTTTTATTATTTGATCAAATAATTTTCTGGAGAAAGATGATACAGAGACTAATGTAATTGTTAACAATTTATGATTCTTATACTGTAAAATATTTCAGTGGTGCATAAATACTTTCGAACAGTTTATCAATAGTAACGAAATATTCTAAAGACTGCATCTCCTTACTCTGCTCCGCTGCCTTGTGGATCAGACCATTAGGTCGAAGGCTCCGGGTGTGACTGACCCCCTTAGAAAACCACCTGTTTCGGTCTGGGCACCCGGATAGTATCTCATCCCTCACGCAAATCGAATGATTTGTGTGACGCATATGTATATGGTGCCTCCTTGGATTATATTCGTAAGTGCTTTAATATGCTATTACCTTCATTATCTCTTTTAACTATTTTCCATAACTTAGACATTCTAGTTGTATAGGTAAAAGTGTAATAATAATTTGATTTAATATAAAGTTAGTTTTGTTCTGTGAAACATTTTCCTAACTCATATGGGGAAATTGACTAGTTCATAAAATTGAAATTTCACAGATAAGTTCTTCATTATTTATGCTTAAATAATAATAAAATTTCTTTGTTACAATATAAAATTTCATGTAGGACTGTATAAGTAATTATAATCATTAACATTTCATCAGTAATTTTCTGTAATGCTGATATTCTGTTAATAAATAATTTGGCCTTAATATATAAAATATCACAATAAATTAGACTTTAATGACATAATAGTAATGTCTTAATTTTATAACTAATCCATAATGATTTCAAAAGTCTATTTGAGGTAAACCTTATCCAAACCTGCATACCAAAATAGTACTGTTTTCAGGAAATCTCATCTCTATTTGAGAATATTATTTAGTAACATAACTACTGGACTGATAGAATAGTTAAAAATTAGGCCTCATAGCCAGATCCTGATTGATTGGAAAATGAGTGGCCTACGAGCCAATTTCCTCCGATTGCCCGTGACATTTCATTGTGTTTATTTGGCCTTCATATTATGTTTATAAGTATTTTATTTTATCATTTAAAAAACCTATTCATCTGTCCAGTGGTCTTTGTTATATCCGGTGAAGATTAAATTACAGGTAACTTCCAAGGACTATTCATGGACTAATATTCTATAAATATTCTTATTGTATAACTACTCAACAATTACACTATGTATATTTATATTCCTCTTATTATAAGCTTTATTTTGACCTATATTTTATTGTACGATTTACTGTCCCTAAATTATGCTCAGTCTATTAATTACTGTCCCCCTCATTCACAGCCACTTTTTGGCTTATTTGTGTACAAATATTATTTCCTATTTTGTGGTACGTTGTGGTCTGTCTGATTGATATATAAACCGGGTATGTCTGAAATAAACAATCTGGTCTGATCTGCTCTGATTCGATTCATATTCGGAAGCTGGTATTGTGTTCTGGACTCACGTGGAAGGGCTCGGAGGACATAGGACCAATAAGGACGCTAAACTGCCCACACCGGTTGAACGTCATTGGTTGGCCTAGTGTGAAGATTCGTATAAGTCGTATTCGGATTGGTAGATAAATCGTGTGATAGAAAAACCAGACGTCAAGGTCATAACAGTCTTGTCTTTAATTTCTGATCATTTGGAAGTTTCAGTCGATTAACAATACCGGCGGTCTGTTTGAATATCTGGGGTACCTGTCCGTGCCATTTAAATATTTCAACTGGCTATCTGTTATTGTTTGTTTTGACACATCATTATGTCTGTTAATCGCATAACCTATTCAAGGACATTTGTAAAACTTTTGCGTCACGAGTTACCAAAAAGTACAGTCGGCAACATCGTGGTGGCTGGCAATATTCATTGATAAGAATGAACATTATGCAGATGTCGATTCCTGAACTGCTAATATCTAACTGGTGATCACTGAATATTTATCATCAGGATCGATCAAGAAATAAGAAAAGGAAACTTGTTAAAATACTTTGTTCTTAAGACTTTATTTTGTACAAAGAATATGATTTTGAGTATAGTCATTAATAATACTCATTAGTTTCATTTCAAATTATTAAAAGCCTCCTCCATAAAATGGCGTTTTAACACTTATGTAGTATTGTAGTCAAAATAATGATTTAGGACATCGATATCTTTAGACACTTGGAAACTAAACTCCGGATATTAGAAAAACAAAGAATTATTGTCTATTGGATTCTGTTTTTTACTTTCCGTTCAGTCTAACTTTACCTCCAGATGATTTGTTTGATCATTACATCCAGTAGATAATTCTATGCTCTTAGCCTTTGTAACTGCATGTATATTATACCGTAGATTGAGTTAAGTGTTTATGAAGTATATGCATTTGCTATGATAACTTCGTCAGTTGCTTTCATCTGTAGGTTTACTGTCATTTGAGAATTCATGTTTCACTATTTTTCCCTTGTTTATACATATTTCTCTCTCTCTCTCTCTTACACACACACTTTAATTCACTGGAATTATTTAATTTTTCAAAGTAATAGGAAAAGGTTAAATATTTATCTGGAGTTTTTCTTCACTCGTCTGTATTCGTATTTACAATTTCGGCTTCAATCGTCAATCAGACGTTAAATGTATACATTATTCTAGATCTAATTCAATTATTTATTTGTTCGTTTGTTTGCCTATTTTATAGAGAAATTGTTTTTACAAACAAATATAGTGTATAATCCAGAATCTGATCCATTAGAACAATTTCCTACAGATCAATTAAATCGATTGAATCCAAAAATTCTCATTGAAATAACTAAATTACAAGCATTAAATATTCAAGTTGAAGGCAATTCACATCCCCCATGTATTGATGATATGGAAAGTTACGCTACATGTTTAGATGCTGGTGAATGGAATACAAGTTGTCATTTAAAATTAACTTATTTAGATAAGGTAATTTGTGTGTTGAGAAATTTTCAATGAGATTTCGTTTGTTTGTTTTTCATTGCAGAAATGTGTTCATTTTATAAGTGATTTTATCTCTTTAAGATTTTCGAATAGTTTTGTTATGATACAGGAATATTGTGTATATATGATTATGTTTGAATAGTTGGCCAAAATATTTTAAAGTATATTTAAATGGACAGTACTTATTAAAATCGAATTAATGAGTGAATGGTTCAAAGCTCCTGAATGAGTGAATATTAAATGAAACAATAATCGGTCAGGAAAAAACATCTCTTTTCAGTAGTGTGACATACATCTGTTTATAGAATTTTGAAGAAACTGTAAGTGATTATTCTTAGCCTTTTCAGTCTATATCACGTAGTTCGTTTGATTCACTATTCTACTTTTGACTGTTTTGTTTTACTAAAATAGAGCTTCAGTTGAATAATCGGAGACTAATTGATATGTAACTCTGAATTTTACTGTGTCATTATTCGAAAAGAGTTCTTAAAGTAACTGTCACAGGTTTTTAAAACCATTATCATTTCTGTAAGCTAACCAACAAACTTTCCCTTATGTACACTAAAACTCTATTGTAGTATTATCAAGACTCTAAAACTTGAATTTTCACTTTCCACTTCAATTAGACTTTGGGTTGGTTCGTAAAAAGACTAAACATAACTTCTTGACTTCTATACAATGAATGAAATATATCAGGAGGGGTTTTGTGGACATTGTAGTAATTTTAAAATTACTACAATCTCCACAAAACCTCTTCTGATACTAATCAACATATGCTCACTAGTGACTGGCTTCAAGAGGCATTTCCTGGAGTTCTAATGAGAAGCAGTAATCAGTGCAGTTCAACCGGGTCTGTTGTGTCGTTCAGTTTCGTGGATTAGTTTAGGTTAGGCAATAATACCGTTGGATGCCAGCTGAGTGGTCTAGAGGTTAAGCGTTCGCGAGGTTGGATCGTGGATGCGCACTGCTGAGGAGTCCCACATAGGACGAAACGGCCATTCAGTGCTTCCAGGTTTTAGATAGTGGTCTAGCTTCAATTGACTCACGATATCAACTATTAAAATAAAATATATCACAAAACCTAGTTCATTAGAAACTCAGGCTTACTTGTCTGTCTACTGAAGGCAAATTAATGTCATAGTTTATATCACGGACTAATCATAGCTAAAAAAAACTTTGAAATCCATGAAGCACTAGGCAGCTTTTACGTCTTAGTATTTGTTCAATAGTGACTGATTTTAAGAAGAAATCTCCAAAGCTGTAGCGAGAAGCCGTGACCAACGGAGTCCAATTAGACCAATAGCAAGACTGTCACCTAGCAACGCAATAGTTGTTATTCAATGATGTGAGCTATGAAATTTAATAATCTCTGACAACCCACTATTTGGTAAGTATACATAACTTTAAAACAGTAATGATAATATTTTATTTATTTTCATATACAATTAAAAGTATTGTCAAGTATATTATTTATTGCTTTTTTATTACCAACCATAATTTTATTCAGGCACGTTATTTACCATGCGAATTGCCAGAGTTCTATATTCGATTAACTCCAGACTATTTACAAACTGGTCAATTAAATTGGTATTACTTACCAAAATTGAAATTTCTATCTTCATTAAACAATCCAAATAAAGATAATGTAAATCATTTGGAGAATTCTGAACGATATTTAAATTTATATTATGATGAATTAAATAAACAATTTGATCGAATGAAACAATTAACAGATCATCGAAAGAGTTTAGTAAAAATTGGTAAAACGTGGGTAAGTGTAAATTTGTTTGTTATTGTTTTGTTTCGGCCTACTACATTGGGTGGTGGTGTTAGATTATTAGTTATGTAACTATTTCTTTTCACAATTAATAGTTGTTTGATTTTCATGCTGGTTCATTGTCGGTAGTAATGAACACCGCGTAGGTTGATAATCCTAACAGAAGTCAAACAGACTCACCGGAATAACGTACCCGGCATTGAATAAAGTCAAAAGACTTAAGTTCTTGGAACACTTATTTATAAATACATATAAATAATAAATGGTTTCATGATAATAATTAGCTCTCATTCGAGTTAATCAACTGAACAATCGCATTCGATTCTCAACACAAACAAGCAGAGCAGTGACCAATTCAATGTGATCTGACTGATAAAAAACCAACAATAGGTTCATATGTCTTTTGTTCCTTCAGGATTCTGGAGCCCATGTGCACCATTGGTTCGGGATCAGGGTTTTCTAACTCCCCTAAGTGGATCCTCCATATCCACCAACCCGGTTTAAGCGCCGAACATTCGCTTTTCGTCCTCTCAATTTTTTAAACAACACCCTTCCGCGAGAAGGCAGTGGGTAGGACTACACTGTCAGTGGTTGTATGAGCGCGGTCTTGTGAGAGTATTGGGAGAGGGAGAGCGGACTCTCCCCACCCTCAACCGTGTCACGGCATTTGTGTATATTTTTTACGTTAGACATAAAAGTATCTGTCAGGCAAAGTAGTGCTATCTAAAATCAAGACTAACTCTTCTTGTTAATGCCGTTAAAAAATACATCGTTTCCTAAAAATTAAACTGTAATCGACCAAAAATGGATTTTGTGGATTTTCAAATTACGTGCTTATAGTTGAATTCAACTCTGAGAAACCTACATACCTGATTGCTAATTCCAAAGGACATCCTGAATAATTTTATGAGTACCAATGTATTTTTCTTAGTTTCAAAATCTGTTGGAGTGACAATAACATTGATGCTTTCGTGTTCTCAGTAGTTAGAGGTTGAGCTAAGAATTATTTAGGTGGGACTCGTTGAAGGTTGTGCTGTGCTGCATTCACTAATCAATTCTGTTATCCTAAATTACATAGCTAGCTAGAGTCGAATCATAACCAATACTAATTTTTTCCGTTAAAACATGATTAATATTTAAGAAATCGTATGGAACTTAATCTCTAGTTGATAAGTCTTGTCGATTGAACGCTATATTCGTTTCCTAAGCTATTCTGGTAACCCGCAAGCTAGAACTACACAGCGACCTGAACACCAGAGAGAAGACGTAAAGCATGAGAGAAATACTTTACTCCAAGGTTCGTTTTTGTACAGAAAACATGGGTATTTATAGATGTTAGCGTTTGTTAAGTCAACATCATATTTCGGCCAATCTGTTAGCGACATATTATGCTACTGACCAATAGTAGCACGCCACGTTGGAATTCCAGAATGCTCCATCGTGCTCTGATTGGCTAGGACTCTTCGGCTCCTTTTGGGCCTCTGGAGGCTCCGCTGAAGTTCTTTGAAAGCCGACTCAACACTAGTCAGTTAGATTCTATTATAACCATATTACTTGGATTTAAATTCCATTTTAAACCACATCTCAACTACTTAATTTAATGAGGAGAGAAGGACAAATTTCCAACATCTTTTTGAATAAAAATTTTAAATCGTTTTATAACTATTTCGACTACTAAGACAATTGATTATTTATTGGCATGTTACATAGCTTCATTAAAATCATTATATGGTAATATACGTATCTGTTTATATAATTGTTCAATTATAAATGTTGACAATTTATCAGTGTAAATATTAAATTTTTTCTAATATTTCTTTTTGTCTGATTCTTTCTTTTAAGACCAGTGTCATCTGTGCATCAATGGCTCGTTTTTATAAATTTGATCATAATTTGTTAATAATTACAACTATCAAATCAACTCAACAAAATAGTCAATTAGTTTATTAAATAAAATGTGATATCTATATATACATTCAATATGTTTTGAAAATAACAAACATGAGTATAAAATATATCTTTGTTTATTTTAATGATAAAATGTTATATCAATTGAATACTTGACTTATTATTTTAGTGTTTCATGCCTATTACTTACCTACGCCTTTTACTTCCAATGGAGCATAGGCCGCCGACCAGCATTCTCCATCCCACTCTGTCCTGGGCCTTCCTTTCTAGTTCCATCCAATTCTTGTTCATTTTTCTTATGTCTGTCTCCATTTCTCGGCGTAATGTGTTCTTTGGTCTTCCTCTTCTCTTTTGGCCTTGAGGATTCCATGTGAGGACTTGCCTTGTGACACAGTTGGGTGCATTCCTCAATGTATGTCCTATCCACTTCCAGCTCTTCTTCCTCCTGATTCCTTCCTCTGCTGGGATCTGGTTTGTTCTCTCCCACAGTAGGTTGTTTCTAATAGTGTCTTGCCAACGGATCTGAAGTATTTTGCGTAGACAACTGTTAATAAACACTTTCATGCCTATTGCTGATGAAATATCAATAATGATTGATGTGTCGAGAAAAATTCTTTATATCTTTTATATACGAATTTAGTGTTTTTATTCACTAGTTAGTAGAATATGTAATTGGTTAATTTGGTTTGAATCACTATTTTAGCTAGGATACAAACATGTTACTTGTGTCGTTTCATAGGGTGTACTTGAAAGTTTATTAATATATCTTGAAGGTCGTATATACAAATATCTCAGGCAGAGCAAGAGCATACAACCACTTCTCGACATTGTTTCATTCAAGCAGTAAAATTTGTCAGGGTTACCCAATTTCACCATTTCTCTTCAATTTTGCCAGCAACGATGCTTGGAAAACAGCTCTGGTGGATGTAGGTAATGATGGCGTTGATCTGTTACGTGGAGAAAGACTTTCCAACCTTCAGTCTGCGCATGATATTGTCTTACTGTGCGATGATACCCAAGCAATCTACACTTAATCAGTTGACAATCATTGTCCGTAGGAATGGCACATGTTCTGCATCTTTTAATTGCAGAGTTTTTTTACAAGACCGATAGGTCCCTAAACCTGCACTCACACTTGGTAGCGAGCAGTTAGAAGTAGTCGAGAAGTTTGTGTAGCCGTGTAAATTCACACAAAGACAAAACAGATTATATCAATCTAGGCCGTCTTTGGCATCTCCATGATGTTAGTTTGGCTGTGAAAGGTCAGTTCTACAACGCGACGTTGAGAGCAGTTTTGCTCTATGCTTGTAACACAAACCAGTCAATCAGGTTACATTCTTTAACTGGAAGTGTTCACCTACGGGTAGCGTGAAGCGTCGATGAGAGTTTGAGAATAGTGACAAAGAAATATCACATTTCATTTCTCATGGAATAAAATTTGTTTTATAGTTTTTGACTAGCTAGTCGTTGCTCACTTCTATAGTGAGACATTATTAATGTATGTATAATAAATGACTAGTACTCTTTAGAATTTAATTGATTCGTCTTGCAAGGTCAATTTTTACTCAGGGTTGGTTAGTTATTATCTGACAGCACTATGTTATTATCATACTCCATCATATCAAATGAAGTATTCCGTTTTTGCAACTAACGTTTTTCACCCTCATGAATCAACTTTTAAAAATATTGTCCTAACATGTATCTGAGACTTTATGTATCGTTCTAATTAACAAGACTACTTCTTTGCAAAAATAGGTTTTAATAATAGGGGGTTTGTTCCATTGATAATAGCCAACTATTGGCGTTAAAGACTTAAACATTCCAAGCTAGACGGAAAACATTGGTCACTATCTGCTTTCTGGACAGATCATTGTATTCAAATGGGTGGTATGCTCTAAAGGCATAGTGTGGTCTTTGGTGCTTATACGGACAGATATGAATAGTATGTATCAGGCGTGGGAAATAGAACTCTTACTTACATAATGGGAAAATGAGAAGGAAACTGAAAGCAATCAAAATCATAATAAGAATGAAGGAGCGATGGAGTTTGTAAGGGACATTTCAAAGATGTGCAAAGGATGTATTTGATGTACAATCTTCTTATTTTACTAAGTCACTGTGTGATTCTGCATTAAATAATAAATTGGTTTTCCCCACTTGAGTTCTCGTTCACTACAATGCTATTTAGGACGTTTGCAGACATACAGTACTTTTATAGTAGAAGATTTCGATAAGCAGAGAACTGTTTCCATGTGGATCGATTCTTTGTATTGCTCACTTTTGTAAGGACGAAAAGACTATAGGGTCGAGTTAGTGTTTCAGATATTACCTACCAACAACAAATCAGAGATGGTGACCGAAGTGAATCGGTAACATTTAAGGAAAATTGTGACGTGAGAAAAGAAAATGTGGGAAAAGTCAGAACCTGCCAATTAGTGGTTAGGTTTACGCATTTTTAATCAATTTTTTCCAAATAGTTGTGTTATGCAGTCATTTCTAATCTATCTTTTGGCTTATTACGTGTTTAAAGTAGTGTCTTGAATGCTGTTAGAGGTATGAGGGCGGTTATCACTTCGCGGTTGTCCACACCGTGGAAGGGTTGTTCTGGAGGTACCTGAAAATGAAACTGGATTAGAGGTGGTCTTAGTGACCTGAGAGCGTGACCGCAGTGCCCAAGGGACAACTGCTTGAGGTCGGTCACACACGACCTTTTTATGGGTAATTTTTGTGTTAACTCCGTACTTGGGACCTTACCGCCGGAGATGGATATCCGTGGAACAAGGCGAGGTGTGCATTTTTAGGGTCGAACGTTTCTAACCCCACCCCTCATTGTGGAAAGGCAGCATCGCTGTCATGCTGGTTGTCTGAAGGAAACACCTTACTACTGTCACACCTCTGCACAGTCAGCAGTAGGACTTCGGACCTTGGGTTTGTTGCTTTTAGTCTTACCGCTCTTCAACCGACCTGTCTGACATGGTAGGACCTTGGGGAATGGTTGTTCCAGCCAGTATAGCTCGGTTGCTTCATCACGATAGACAAGCCCAACCACCACGTCAAGGTAGCAACAACGGTTTAAGGTACTGAACAGAGAAATATTCCTTTCTAATTAGTTCCTTGTCATTTAAGTTCACGTATACAGGTTTTACATAATACTAGATAAGCGATGGTCAATTAACTTGTCAACGTATCACTATATTTCCCCTGATGTTTTGCATTAGGTTAGTAATACAATGAATACTAGATTAAAACGAAGGCGAAATTACGTAAGAATTAAAGTATAAATTGAGTAAGTTTGAGATTCAGCAAATAAATATAAACGCTTAGTGTTACTTGTAAAATTAATAATAGTTAATTATAAAAGATTCAAATAAAATTAGACAATCAGATTATTAAGATAATTTATGTACGAATATAATTAAGAACCAAAATTGAAAAATTTCCGAGGAACCTTACAGTAACTGTAAAAGCTAAATTTGTATCGACATGGTGACCAAAGTCAACCAAGTACGTCAAAATAGGGCTTGTTACTCGACACTGGATATTTGACCAGTCATAAATTACAGTCAGGCAATCATTCAAATCCTAAACAGGTTTGTGTCTAAAATATCTTCGAAGTATACCTATTGTGTTTCATAAATCGTATAGCTCGGTCTCCTATATACACGTGACTTATGTTTGAACGATGAACAGTACCAATCATTTATTCTTCTGATGTTTGATTAGAAGTTTAGTGAAGTGGGACTTTTTATGGTCCGTTGGTAGCGTGGTGGTGAACCTAGTGGTGCATAGGCATGGAACTGATAAGTCTGTAAAGTTAATTCCTATTGGTAAATGAGTGTATTCATACTGGCCTGCTATCTGACACTTCCTATTGTGTTATTTATTACATCTGCCCCTATACACTTTATCATAATGTACTCCTTTCTTAGTAATTGTCTATTCATTAGCTGTCCGTTGGATAACTGAGTGCGAGTGTGGCTTGGACTAATCAAAACAAACGTTTAACTAAGATAAAGAGAACACATTAAACTGTAATAAATCTACTCTATACTCGAAAACCTTTCCAATTTAGTTTGACACCTTGATTAGTCTGTGTCGTAAACTAATGATTTTTACTAGTTTTGCTTCAAAATATTCTGTCAGTATTAGTTCATTTCCGCCACTCATCAGTGTAAATCAGAATTATCTTCCTCACAATTAAAAAATAAAGATCGATGAATGGTGAGGTCGATCAACCTTTTTTTTATTAAGTACAATATGTAGCATATGAGAGTATAATTTTCACTAGGGATTTCAATTCAGTCGTCCAAAACTATCTCTTTATATGTTTTCTATGAATATAACACCGTAGCGCATCCCAACTTTCAGGATGAAAAAGCAATTACTTTGAAATTTTAAGATTGGAATGAAATCCTCAGTAAAAATTATCTACTTATAAACAAACAGAATATTGCCCGGAATCGTTTGGTACCACATATACATTAAGTACTAAAAAAACGAATCCTCCACAAATTCATGGAGATGTATTCTATCTCTAGATGAATTAAATTAAAATTGATATTGTATGATTTCCAGAAGTCAATGCCAAACAAATTAATTCAGTTTGAAATAGATTGGATTATCCCGTTGATATTTTTGACTGAAATTTGATTAGTCTATTTTGGGATATGTACATCATGCGCTCATTGCATCAATATACGCATCGCAACACAATTTAATATGGAATAGATGGAATTTATCTAGCAATTCAATCTAGGAAGTGCGTTTTGTCCTATTTAGGACTCGTCAGTTGGATTGACACGAATCCCAAGACTGATCAAATTTTGGTTAAAATAATAAGAACGGAATGATCCAGTCAATTTCAAATTGAATTAAAACCCATACTCGTTGCATAAGTGAGTATTCGTTCGGACTTAGTAGCTAAGTAAATAAAGCTATGGTGTTTGAAGCGAACAGTATTGAGTCCGAGTCCCAGAGTGGAAATCAACTCTAGAATGCAGGTACCTACACCCAATGAATCTCAAATAGGACGAAATACTAGTACAATTCATGAAATTTCGAGTAGAAAAGTCCAGGAAGTCAAGCATTCATCAACTGTAACTCAGGATTATCAGCTTTTATCAAGCCAGCCCAACTCTTTATATTGTCT